TTCTCCCTTGGTGCATGTGTATCATTGTTGAAATGAAAGGTCAAGTTTCCCTGGTTTGTTCTCCCTTGGTGCATGTGTATCATTGTTGAAATGAAAGGTCAAGTTTCCCTGGTTTGTTCTCCCTTGGTGTATGTGTATCATTGTTGAAATGAAAGGTCAAGTTTCCCTGGTTTGTTCTCCCTTGGTGTATGTGTATCATTGTTGAAATGAAAGGTCAAATTTACCTGGTTTGTTCACCCTTAGTGTATGTGTATCATTGTTGAAATGAAAGGTCAAGTTTTATACAACATGGAGATTTATATATTAACGAGGCTGTTTATATTATCTCAAATTTTTCCAATTATTAACTTATTGAGGTGGACTGTCCTTTGGGCATAGTTTTTGCAGTGTTGTTAATGTGATTAAAGGATGGCCAGGTGTACTACACAGGAAAAAAACTTTGAAGTTAGTAATCTAGCTTTGTTATCCTTTTCAACTGGAATTCTAGAAAGGAATTTTACAATATCCAACATGAAGAATATCAAACTCTTTGTAAACTTAGGAAACACACTGATTTAGTGATGACAGAACCAGGTAAAGGAAACAAGGTAGTACTATTGAACAAAGAACGTCCATGATTAGTAAAATATATTACAAAATTCCTAAATTGAAGAAAGAAGGAACATCTGTGAAGGGGGTGAAAAATCTTCCAAATTATAACTGAGAATATTTATAAATAAATAAGGAGTAGTGGATTCTCATGCTGGGATAATACGTCATTTTCCAAAAATCCACACATCCTGTAAGAACAGTTGTTTCAGATGTTGGCACTTACAATCATACATTATCCAGCCTTTCGATGAATTTTGTTTTTCAATCTGTTAACAGTTAATCCACCATTAAAAAGGTTTTAAGTTTTGACTTTTGCTGCAGAATTTAAAGTACAATCACAATTTGTATATGACAACCTTTGAATTTACCCAAACTGAAATTCTGTTACAAGAGACCGTTGATTTATGCTGGTGTTTCTTAACATGTGTTCTCTACGTTGATACCTCTTGCAACTAAATAATCACATTTCGGGTTTAATAGTACAATTTATGGTCAGAGTGATGAATCTAAACTTCTTGTTGTTTAGACTAATTTGTTTATATGAAGTACAGTGATTAGAAGGATATTGTTATAGAGCTTGAGCCACTTTATTGTTAAAGGTATGTTGATGACAATGTTACCATCACAAATTCATGTTGAAAAACTTCATTATATTTTAATAGTAAACATTCTAATGTAAACCTTCCTGTTGAATCTAGCTAGTCATTCTTAGGTTCTCTTGTTTATAATTTATGGAGTACTTTTGGAGTGAGTTTTTATCATAAACCAAATTATTTAGGATGTTCTGCCCATTTTAGTATTTTTTTTCCTAAAGACTTTAAAGTAATTTTAAGCTGATATATTTATTGACCATGTGCACTAATACTGTCATTTTGTGTGTCAATACTGACTTCCATATAATATTGTATCATGCTTGAAGAACATTTATTCATTAAAATATTTGTTCAACGTATGTATCAGTAGACATGTAGGGGCAACAGATATATTTGCATTTGATTTAAATATTTTATGTAAAGTTAAGAATAGTTTATTAAAAAATATTTTAGAACAACTTTCCTGAATGATTTGTAATATCATGGGGCATTCTTAGCATATTTACATAGGTATGATACAATAACTGTACTTTCTTGGTTTGCTCATTTATAATTCACTTGTTTTTTTCAGTCGTTATGTGCTCACACTGTACTTGACAGAAAAGAAGAAGAAAAGATTTGTGACCATCTTATAACTGCTGCAAGACGAAGAGACAGTGTGGTGGCTGGGAGACTTGTTGAGAAAATCATAAACATCCTCACTGACAAACATGGAGCATGGGGAAGAAAAAGCATCACTTGGAGGGAATTCCTTAAATTAGACACTTGGGAAGATGATGCAAGAAGACGAAAACGATTAGTACAGAATCCACATGGCTCGAGTCACCCAGAAGCAACCCTAAAAGCTGCCCTAGAACACGGTATTAATACTGGTGTTATTTTAGCAACATAAGAACATATGAAGAACTGCTACCAGCTTTAAAACTCTAGAACATAGTATTAATACTTCTGTTATTTTAGCAACATGAGAACATATGAAGAACTGCTACCAGCTTTAAAACTCTAGAACATGGTATTAATACTTGTGTTATTTTAGCAACATATGAACATATGTAGAACTGCTACCAGCTTTAAAACTCTAGAACATGGTATTAATACTGGTGTTATTTTAGCAACATAAGAACATATGTAGAACTGCTACCAGCTTTAAAACTCTAGAACATGGTATTAATACTGGTGTTATTTTAGCAACATAAGAACATATGTAGAACTGCTACAAGCTATAAAACTCTACAACATGGTATTAATACTGGTGTTATTTTAGGAACATATGAACATATGTAGAACTGCTTCCAGCTTTTATAACTCTACAACATGATATTAATACTGGTGTTATTTTAGCAACATAAGAACATATGTAGAACTGCTACCAGCTTTTATAACTCTAGAACATGGTATTAATACTGGTGTTATTTTAGGAACATATGAACATATGTAGAACTGCTTCCAGCTTTTATAACTCTACAACATGGTATTAATACTGGTGTTATTTTAGCAACATAAGAACATATGTAGAACTGCTACCAGCTTTTATAACTCTAGAACGTGGTATTAATACTGGTGTTATTTTAGCAACATAAGAACATATGTAGAACTGCTACCTGCTTTTATAACTCTAGAACGTGGTATTAATACTGGTGTTATTTTAGCAACATAAGAACATATGTAGAACTGTTACCTGCTTTTACAACTCTAGAATGTGGTATTAATACTGGTGTTATTTTAACAACATAAGAACATATGTTGGCATTGCACTTGTTTAAAAGAATGAAACAGTAAAAGTAGTAGAGATGAAAACAAGTTAAGATAACTTAGTTTAAGGAATTGTCAGTATGACATAGTATTCATGATAAGTGTAGTGTTAATATGAAATGTGTTCTTTTCATGATAAGGGTAGTGTTAATATGAAATGTGTTCTTTTCATGATAAGGTGGTTTCAGTATCACATGGTGTTGTGTTCATGATAAGGGTAGTTTCAGTATCACATGGTGTTGTGTTCATGATAAGGGTAGTTTCAGTATCACATGGTGTTGTGTTCATGATAAGGGTAGTTTCAGTATCACATAGTGTGTTCATGATAAGGGTAGTTTCAGTATCACATAGTGTTGTGTTCATGATAAGGGTAGTTTCAGTATCACATAGTGTTGTGTTCATGATAAGGGTAGTGTCAATGTAAAATGTCATTATCCTTAGGATTAGTGTAGTGTCAAATGTTGTCTTTGTTTCTTTATCCTATGAACTATGACCTATTGGTCAGCAGTTGGACAAACAACTGCTTATTTCCAGTAATTTAGTACAATCCATAATTGTTTAAATATTCTATGGTTGTTCTTATAAACTGCTTCAGATCATAATTTTCAAAGGTTATATTTTATTTACAGTATAGTTTGCTAATAACTTTCCAATTGCTTGAAAGTATAATATCAATGTTAGTCCCTATTTTTGATGTGACAATAATACTCTGAACAAATCTTCATTTAACCTTGAGTTTTTCTACGGGTAATTTAACGTGTCGTTAAGCAAATATATAATCAAATCGTATTATAGATTGTTTGTGTGATAAAAGCTTATATGTTGATTTCAAGTGATATACTGTTTACCAGGAGCTCCCGAGGATGCAATACTTCAAGCCCGTGAAGAGTTCCACAAACAGCTGGCAGTCACTAGGAAGCACCAGCACCTGCAGAGCAATGACCTGCTGGATGACAGCGACCTTTGGGACGATAAAGATTTAGATTCAGAACTTCAAGGTCAGTTTTCTCAACTCCATGTTTTATTATAAAGTAAAAACATTTTTGTTGTTCACTATAAAGTATTTTATAAAATGTAAAACTATGTGCAGTATTATTATAAACAAAAAACACTTGATACTTAGACTTTGGGGGTTTCTTTGTTTGGTTACATATAATATAATTAAATTACCACTTGTAATTATGATAGTGTCTCGCATATATTCTCTTTTTCCACTAACAAGTGTAAGGTTTATTTTAATTCTCTTTTTTATTTGATTTTACTCAATTTTTGAAAAGGAAATATTAGGAAGTTGTTGACCTTACATTTTTAAATGAGATTTCTGAATTACTATGTTTTTGGAACGACAGATGTACTTTTGACACCTGATGATATGTGTTTGTGGTAAAAAGTAGTGTATCATGCTAAGAGTGAAAAGTGTAGTTTAAATACTGAGTATTTCATGTAGAAAGAAGGTTAAAGGAATGCAACCTACAATAAAGATTTTTCTGATTCAGGCACTGTAAACTTCAGCACCAAATGTAAGTTGATTGCACCAAGTGTCGTTGCTCCGGGCATGATGTCTATTACACAGAGTGAGCTGTTCTTTGAGGTGGATGAAGAAGACCCAGAATTCATGAAGATTGATCCAGAGGTAGGCCCATCGATTTTGGAAAGAATGCATGTTGTAGTAGTATATCTGTTTTAAAATGCAATGTTGTTGGTTGTAGTAGTTGTCATGAAGCATTTATAAACAGGAAATTGAAAACTTCCATGGATAATGACTTCCATTATCAGTAACTGTTAATAGTGTGATAAACATACATCATCAGTAGTGGACATGTATACTTCTCTAGTATTAGTAGTATTAACAGAGAAATACTGCTAAATGATTGGTGATAGTGTGATAAACATACATCATCAGTAGTGGACATGTATACTTCTCTATTAGTAGTAGTATTAACAGAGAAATACTGCTAAATGATTGTTAATATTGTGATAAACATACGTCATAAGTAGTGGACGTGTATACTTCTCTAGTATTAACGGATAAATACTGCTAAATGATTGTTAATAGTGTGATAAACATACATCATCAGTAGTGGACGTGTATACTTCTCTATTAGTAGTAGTATTAACAGAGAAATACTGCTAAATGATTGTTAATATTGTGATAAACATACGTCATAAGTAGTGGACGTGTAT